CTGAGGTCTGGCTAGATTTCATGGTGACACTGCACCACTGTGAACTCTAACTAGAGTCCCTGCTCTTTCCGTTGTCCTTCATGACAATTGAGTCTATCCATCTTCATTCATTGTTGGAGCAGCCTCCTTCAGGTAATTATCACTATTAGAAAGCCTTGTGTTTCCTATCCAAGCTAATTACTTTACTCCTGAGTTCTTGTGTGTATGACTGTTAGAGTGTCTTTGTATGTTTGAATCCCCAAATAAATTACAGTTCATTGGAAAGCTTTGTCTCAATCAGTCTATTCCCTAGTCACCTCCGTAAACATAGGATAAAAGATCCCATAGAAGACTTGGGCTTTAGTAATTCCCCAAGTCCAAGGTCTTCATTACACCTTTTATGCTACAAGAGAATAACACGGTTACTTCTTTGAAAATGCCCTACAAAGACCTCCAGACGTAATTCGTGTAACACAAAGTGTGTAAAAAAACATTAGTTGAGAATTTGAGTACAGTGTGTGCGTGTGGGCATGTATGCCTTCCAGTCACCTGTTTTCTTATGGCAACCTCATTAATTTCATAGGATTTTCTTAGGCAAGGAATATTCTGAAGTGGCTTTCCCAGTTCCTTCGTCAAAAATATAGACTACAGCACCTGTTGTTTTCTGGCAGTCTCCCACTCAAGTACTACCCAGGGTTGACCCAGCTTAGCTTCAAAGATCAGAAGGGATCTGGTGCCTTTAGGATAATTAGTATTTCCATATTCTCAAAAGCCATCCAATTAGTTCTAGGTTTGCAGTGTTCAGCAGAAAGTGCCAGCTCTTTTTTGCCCAAGTTCGCTAATTTCAGGAATATAACAAAATGGCACATTTTAATATGACAGCCTTTCCTATTATAATCATTACTTTTCCAGGAAGGTCATTAGGAGCTATGACATTGTTTAGACCAGAAACGTCATTAAAATTCAGCAAGACCTTGCATTGTTTGGGGACACTGCAACAAAGGTCATCGTACTTTTACACAACAATCCACTTCTCAGCCTTGCTACTACAAAATGCCTTGATTTTGGCTGTATAAATTGGGACAATAGAGGTGTTTATGTGTCATTTTGTTATGTTTGCTAAACAAATGTGTGTTATGAATCACCCAAATCTACATATTTCTAACCCATAAAATCTGAGTGGTATATTCGAGCTATATCCCAAGAGAAAGTATTTTCTTATGTACTGCTGATATTTAAATTTTACACTGATAATGTGTGTCCTTCTTACACCATGCAAGGCACACTTTCAAAATGTTATTTTCTGATTCTGAAATGTTATACCAACACAGAGATGACTTTCTTTTTCACTGCCTTCTACCAACCGTGGGTGTACGTGCCTTCAAGTTGTCTGTTGTTGATTCATGGCAACCGGAGTTAGATAAATGAAACTGACCAAGCCACTCCTTATTACTCAAAGAAAGGGAAGGTCACATTCTTGGAAGAAGGTGAAGATGGCTGTTTTTCCTGTTTTAT